GCCCGCCCCCCCCCCCGCCCCAAAGGTAATAGAATATTCGGACAATAATGAACCTCATGCTTCAATTATTGGAGCGAAAAGTCTTCCAATCCATTTACCCCGTCTACTTTACAAATCCCACGTATACTGATTCCGCCGTACACTCTTCCGTACCCTCCTTGATCAGTTTTGTGCCTTGTCACGACCGATTTTCGTCTGTAGAGAGCACAAACTTGCGGTGCTACCCTTGATACGTTTGGGCAATAGAGATATCTGGATATCATTGTCGGCGTCGATTGCGAGCCTGACTTCGAGTTAAAATGTGCGCCTTTGACAATACCACGTCGCAAAAAAATATTACATGACTACAACGAACCCTTCTAATGAAAAACCATTAACTCGGTGTATCAAAGGAATGTCAAGACATTCTGTGACCACTCGCAGACCGGAGATGTCAGCAAGGACTCGCGTGCGTTCAGTTCAAATATATGATTGAATATCAGGGCGTGGCATTTTCCGTTGGAGAGCTTGGACGAACAAGAGCTATAGTAGTGTTTATAAACCTGAGCTTCTCACCGCCCAATTACGCGACGTTGATAGTTCAGATTCTAAGACTCGTACTGACCACGTCACTTCCCTGGTTGCTCCTCAGGAACGACCAAATAAATAATATACCGGCGTTGCAGCATGGCTCCAAGACTGTTTGACTCGATTCTCATTTATCCTCAAAGAGGCTTCTCACACGTTTTGGCGGATTCAATACATTATGTTCCAAAATAGTTGATTGCCGGTATAAAAACAGATTTCAGCTTTGTTGTATACGTAAACCGTCAACCCGCCAATTTTTCAAATGCAAACGCCAAATAAAATCCTACAACATTAGTAAATATTTCTTTATCAAATTATATATGATTTTGCTCAACGTACCAGCAGCTTCTCGCTGATCTCCTTCAATTCCATAACTTCCGTCCTGTTTGGTGACGCCCATACGACGACAAATATCGAATAGTTCAGGATGCTCACTAGTTTCATCTTCAAATACGTCATGGAACCCTTTGCGATATATTAACTCCAATTTGTAATCCTCGGCCATGCTACCATTTGATTAGTCTCTCTAATTCCCTCGTTTGCTGCCTTCACAAACTTACGCTCGGAAAATTTCGAATGGCACCACATATTCAGGGACGTCCTCGACAGCATCCTCGAGGAAGAATGAATATCGCTGCCCGTAAGGAGGCCGGAATATTCCGTTTCTGGGAGGATCATTATAAAATCTCACACTATATACAGAGTTACCCCACTCCTTCTTTCCTGGAGGCAATTTGGCGATATGGTCGATTATAGCATCTGAAGATGGAATAGTGCCTATAAATTTACCTCCTCTTCGAAGCGATTTCGACACATTCTCAAGCATCTGACGAGCTTTTTGTTCATTCTCAAATGCGTAATGCATACAGAACTGCATGCTCACGATGTCAACAGGAAATACAGCCTGGTGCATATCTCTAGGAAGGTACGTTGGAAGGGGCATCTAAGCCTGCATGTTAGTATACTCTAATAAAAATAATTACTAAAGCCTAGTATACCCCAAAGGCGTCACCAGCGAAAAATTCGGCCCAAAACCTTCGCCGTCTCATGTTGTTATACCTCTCCCTAGCTTGATTTATACTGACATCGGCAACGTCAATACCGATATAACCTCGAATACCCGCAATATCCCACTTTAACAGGTCACCTCCTTTCCCACAGCCCATATCTAACACAACATCATCTCTATTTGCAAATCTCTTTATAAGGACAGACTTTGTAAAATTGTTGAATGATTTCAGTTTAATGATGGGTGAGTACTGCCGCTGCGCAACTCCCTGATCTGGTCGCGCGTTGTAATGCTGCCGCACAACAGAGTCGATTGACCGTCGTGACAGCTCTGTCTGCATACGCTGAGATTCCTGTACTTCCATCTGGCGACGTTTCACAACATCTTGCTCGCGAGCCTCATGTGTTCGTCGAGCAGAGGCAGAAGGGCGCTTCAGTTTTCGCGGTGGAGATCGCGGGGGAGACTTAGCCTCTGGGCGCCCGGACACAGATGACGGTGAAGCTACTTGAGCATGCGCAGGATATGCAGATGAAAATGCATGGTTATTGCCGGCGGGTTTCGATAGATGAGCTGACTCTGACCCCCGAGCTCCATCATCCGCCGTTCTTTTTGATTCGGCAAGTGCTTTTTGTTTTGATGTATTCGCGCTTTCTAGTTGCGTCTCTGTCGCTTTGCCTTTAGAATCGGTTGAAGCTGCAGTTGAGCTTGCCCATAATGATGATGCTGTTGATGTGGACTTGTTGCGGATGCCGTTCTCGTCTGTTTCCACAGTTGCGTCTGTCGCGATCTCTTTCCCTGGCGCTATGTCTCCATCGATGACCTCTGACTGATCTGACATAATGATATTTCAAACTTTGAGAAGTTATATGTAATATATACTCGTCTTAAGATTTCTCCGTTTGGCAAACCGGTTTAGATTTGTCAGTAACCGGCTTATTTTAATTTGCCTGCGTGCGGCTCTGATGTGCCAGTACATCGTCGCCTTATATGTGTGCTACGTTGACGTCCATATCTTTGGCCAGATCTACAACCACACGCCGCGCCCCCCCCACAGATTCCCCGGGTATGATGGAAATTGGCTATATATACAATCAAAATGATATACCTTGGATATCTATACACAATTGTGTTGTGTCTACGTAATCATACAATAACTCATTTATCGTACATGTCTCCCATGAGCATCAACATTCGCATGGTGTTGGCCATCATTGAGTACCTCCGAACACCGAGCAATAGTCTCTCCCCGCACTAAACAACCTTCCACTGCAACCTCGGTAGCTGGGTTTGCTAATCCCTAGCCGCAGCGGGCATCTGCAGGTAGTCATCTGGATGAGTACGCCATCGATTACATAGCCAGTGTGGATCATTTGTGTCATCAACACTGACCACGGGACTATCAAAGTACATGTCAATATCTGAGACAGGGCCGGTAGTCTGATCTCGTTGGTTGCAGCCTTTGCAGCATCCTCGATTCTGCCTGCGGCCGAAGCTTGTCCAGCTGCAATTGGCAACCCGTCCCTGCAACAGCCAATGGGTACTTGTGATGCAGATTCTGGCGTATGGCTTGTATAATCAGTCGACCAGAATTATTATCCTCTCTTGATTCCTCTAAGATCAGAGTGTCTTTTGCTCGAGATTCCAGGACAAGAGCAGTATAGGACATGTCAGGGTCGATCGGTCTTCGATTGCTGCTTCGCTGCCATCGTTGAGGGCTCTGTAGTCGAGGCGCTTACTTGGCAAGATGACATTAATTGTTAAGTTAGCATTTGGGATCATAGTACTACAAATGTCGTGCTCAAAAAAATTTCATATTCAGGGTATCAAACCTACTAGACATTTAATTATTGTATCGTCGCCGATATTGACGATATCGTATCTTCAAGCTTCTAACGTCGGCCGAGACGATAGACGATAACTATCGGCAGACCCAAAGTTCAACGATGCCGATTGCCGATTTGCACAAACGTTGCCAATATCGTATCGCCAACAGCCCTATAATGACCGACTCTCTGGCCTGACCGCCCCCCGGCCTTTCTCCGCTTCTCTTTCGCGCTCTCTCCTCCCGTTACCTTCCGTGCCGGCTCCGGGCGCGCGGTTGGTCTCCTGGCTTACGGGCCCGGGCCGGCCGTCAGTGCTGCAACCTTTTGCCTTCATTAGTTTTTTCTTTATACATTTTCTTTGTCTCTACATCCCTTTGTTTGTGTTTGTTCCCATCATTTCGCGAGTAAGCACATGTAATAATATACTGGCTTCAATCAAAAAAGAACAAAACAAGGAAAAAATAAATCTTCTTTTTGCTTGATAGGGGAGTCGAACCCCTGTCACATCCTTGGGAAGGATGTATGATACCGCTACACTAATCAAGCGAAGTAGACAAGAAATCTCGTCTTGAAGGCCCTTTGTACCAAATAGACGGGTTAGGGTATGGACCGTTCCCGCGATGGCAAGCGGGTTGGTGCGGTAGCCGTCGAGCTTGTTCTTTCCTTTCGTTCCTTTATCCTCGTCGATGTTATTCTTTTATAGTCCGCGGTTTGATTCTATTATAGTCCGTGTTGCCAGTTCGTTCCTTGTCCCGTTCGTTCTTGTTTGTTCCGCCAGCAACCGTAATATTATTTAGTAATCTACTCATTTTCTATCAAAAAAGAAAAGAAATATAAAAAGTAGGTTCAATTCCACGTCGCCAGAATTCATTTTCTTCAAAGCCAAAGCGACGATTTTATTATCTAAGGCGTAATAGCACTATAATGAGTATAATCATCATGTAATATTGACAAAATAACTGCTGCTTAGGTGGCTCTAATGCTCGAATCGTGATTAGATATCACCCGACCTGGACAAGTAGACTTTCCAGCCGTCAATGTAAGTCTACCTAACTTACTCAAGCAACAAATCAATTAGGATTGTGATACAAACAGCTTATTATTACATTGGTATATATATAGCTTAAAAACAAGTAACGATACTATCTTCAACTATAACAAAACAGTAACAAGTGATATAGGACAAAGATTTGCTGATATACTAAAGAATATAAACTGATCACCCATTATTAGACCGCGGAAACAAGGTACGCTGATGAACACCAATACTCAATCCGTCTACTGCTCCTCCTCCAAAGCCATCTCTTCTTCATACTCAATCTCCTCGTCAGAAACAGTAGCCTCCTGGTACTGCTGATACTCGCTAACAAGGTCGTTCATGTTCGACTCAGCCTCAGTAAATTCCATCTCGTCCATACCTTCGCCGGTATACCAATGAATGAAAGCCTTTCTGCGGAACATAGCAGAGAACTGGTCACCAATGCGCTTGAAGAGCTCCTGGATGGAAGTCGAGTTGCCAATGAAGGTAGCGGACATCTTCAAGCCCTTAGGAGGAATGGAGCAAAGAGCAGTCTGAACGTTATTGGGGATCCACTCGACGACTATAATTACATTAATGACTCTCTTTATAACAAATTCTTGGATGCTGAATGCAATAAATTCTTACAGTAAGCAGAATTCTTAGTCTGGACGCTTCTCATCTGGTCTTCAACCTCCTTGATCGAAACCTTTCCTCGGAAGAAAGCAGCAACGGTGAGGTATCGGCCATGACGGGGGTCTGACGCAGCCATCATATTCTTCGCATCGAACATTTGCTGCGTAAGTTCTGGCACTGTAAGGGCACGGAAAGAGTGAGAACCCTTGGATAACATTAGCGTTGTGTTAGCAAAAGTAGAACAAAGTCCACTTACGACAGCGGTCAATGGCGCGAAGCCGACCATGAAGAAGTGCAGACGTGGGAAGGGAACCATATTAACAGCCAACTTCCGGAGATCACCTATACTAGGGTCAGGACGGTTTACAGTAAAAGCGACGACTCAACATACTGTTTAGCTCGCCTGGGAATCGAAGAGAAGTGGTGATGCCCGACATAACCGCGGCCACGAGGTGGTTGAGATCACCATAGGATGGCTCGCTGAGCTTCAAAGTGCGAGAGCAGATATCATACAAAGCCTAAGGCGATTAGCTACAATTCAACATCTGCTCGAGTGCTATTGTTACCTCGTTATCGATACAGAATGTCTCATCGGAGTTCTCTACAAGCTGATGGACGGACAAAGTAGCGTTGTAAGGCTCAACAATCTAAAGTTCACGTAAGTTACACAATATTCTTTTAGTTATGAAATACGGGATGCGACATACAGTGTCGGAAACTTTGGGTGATGGGACAACAGAGAACGTAGCCATCATGCGATCTGGAAACTCCTCACGGATCTTAGAAATCAAGAGAGTGCCCATACCAGCACCGGTACCACCACCAAGGGAGTGAGTGATCTGGAATCCCTGAAGGCAATCACAGCCTTCGGCCTCTCTGCGAACAACATCGAGAACGGAGTCAACAAGCTCAGCACCTTCAGTGTAATGACCCTTGGCCCAATTGTTTCCCGCACCAGATTGCCCGAATACGAAGTTATCAGGTCTGAAGAGGTTGCCGAATGGTCCGCTACGAACGGCATCCATAGTACCAGGCTCTAAATCGACCAGTACTGCACGAGGAACATACTTTCCACCGGTAGCCTATTTCCGTTAGAGGCATTTTAGCTGGTGTCACAATAGATCATTACCTCGTTGAAATAAACATTCAAGCGCTCAAGCTGGAGATCGTTAGTTCCGTGATACCTAAACCAGACATTAGGCATGATCGCTCAGTATATTTCAGAATTTTCATATTTTCACATACGCTCCAGAGCCATCAATGCCATGCTCGGCGCTGATAGTTTGCCTACCACAAGTCTTGTTAAACCTGTTCAACTACGGTCCATATCCTTAAAATCAAATTCATTTACCAAAAGGCAGCGCCCTGATTAAACAGTTAGAACCTTAAGATCCTGTAGATTGAAATAATACGCTTGACAATATCGTTTCACGATCTGTACCACTTACAATCTGATTGCCACACTGACCGGCTGACAAATGAATCTACCGCAACATTGTTAGTCTCTGAAATACCAAATCACAGTAGCGCAAGCTGTAAACAGTTGCGAAAAGTTCTGTAGCGGTAACTCTATAGAGAAACCCCCAAAATCGGACGCGTCTTACAATTTCCCTCATGGTGATAGAGAAATAAATGAAAGTCTATAATCAGGATAGCAATCAATTATCGAATACAGTAGGCAATGCTGATATGAGCGCAGCGGTGATTGCTCAGTTGTGGATCTGGACCTGCGAAAAACAGGGAAGTACTCAAGGGCGGCGCGGCTAGCCAAGGGGCTCGAAACCACAACATTGTGGTTTGTTTACTTCTTGTCGCTCGCGTTACCCACTTACCCGGCTTACCGCGATATAACCCGACCCTCAAAGATCCAAGCTTCGCGTTTAACTACTTATCACTACCGCTACATTACAAACGTGCACAGCAATAATCCACGATATTAATACATATGGCAACAAACTGCATCATGGAGTAAATGCTAATAACCTTCGCGCACCATATACACCGGTACCAGCAAGCTATAAATACAAACTCAGAAACTTACAACACTAACAATCCCCAGTCCAAGATAGACAACCATTTAACAAAATATCGCAGGTTCTAAACAGCCTTAGCAGGCTCTTCATCATCGCTGACATCGCCACCGACTTCACGACACCATTTGTATACCTTGGCCCTAAATCTGTCCGCCCGTAGTATACCAGATCTAATTTTATACAAAGATCTGATAAATTCTTCTCCACGCTGGGCAGCCATTTGGGAAAGCTGTCGCGTCTCTTGCGCAATCTCAGGTGGGAAGCCGAAGTCGCGATCCACTTCTAACTTGGGCAAAGCAAAGAAAGGCTCCAGCTCATTCGAGGCCTGATTCCGCGTTACACGACGAGTGATTGCTCTATTTGACTCATCTTCATCTCCATTTCCTTCCAGATTGGTATACTCGGTTTCAGGTTTCGAATTGCCATTGGTGGGCTTAGTCCCAGCAAGAGCGTCAGCATCTTCGGATTCATCAATTTCTGTCTTCAAACCGTAAACCGTGCCATTCGACTTGCTCTTAAGGAAACCATTGCTCTTTTGCTTGCTAGCAGCGTTGGGCGCTGACGTACTTTGCTCGTCTGGAATAGGGCTCTCGCCGTCGTGATCGTAGAGTTCAGGAAGGTGAAGATTTCGATCTCGAATATATGCTGGGTCATCGCCCAAAAAAACAGCTAACAGCCGGTTAATCTGTGCTAATTGTTTTTGCTCCGTGCAAATTAAGTCTAAGGCTCTCCTTGCGAGAGTTGAGAGCGTGGTACGCGTGTAAGCCCTTGAAATACCTGGATGCGTAGGTAACTCGGACGGATGTCCAATTGGGGACAAAATAGCTGGCAAGGCATTAGTACTAATCCACAGCCTACAAAATCATCACATAAGTTACCTTCCAAGTTAATGCCTGCGTAGGGGTCATCCTCATCAGAATCGCCATCGTCGTGCCGATCGTCATCATCCCCATACTCGTCGTCACTAAGATCCAAATCTCTATAGGATTTCTTCACACTAACAATTGCTCGTCTTTTATTCGCATATTCGATAGTCTGTAATCAATTGTCATAAAAAACTTGTTCCATAAAGAGACACTCACCATCACCCAATAAGCACTACACAACAACACGAAATACACCAACTCACCTGCGGTATTGATGCAGCTACATATGACAGACCAAGTCTTCCTTCTTGAATGACTCTGGATTTTCTTTTCAACTTTCGCCCTCGATTTGAGCCAGCTGCTCCAATGGAGGAATCTGAATCCGAAGCTATTACCAAGAAACATTAGCGCCATGCTTTCAACCAACCCAACACATTGAAGACCAGATATTAATCAAGCTTATTATAAGCGCTCGCAGAAATTCACTTACCATCTTCTGGGCGTGCCAGTGCAGCCTTAAACCGCCTGTAAATAATTAGGATCTATGATCCTTCGACTTCTTCACTCTGGCTACTTACAGGATCTCTTCCGCAACGTGCTGGTCAACCATTTCGATTAACAAATAATAACAAGCTGAAACAATCCTCCTTCGCAGTCCAATATGTAAACGAAAGGCGCCACTATGTTCGTTTTTATCCTCCGCGATCAGGTCATGCACGATTGCGCTAGGTTCTAAAACACGGTGTCGACATTTCGGAGGGCGATCACAGGCACAAACCTTATTTTGGAATTGCTTAGCGCCGCAATTACCCGGCAAGTTTATAGCAAACTCCGGAAATGCATATATACCTGTGTAGACGCGTATGCTTTTCACAGTTTATTTACACTTGAATGGTATACAATAGCATAATTATAATCGACTTGATACTTGCCTGTTTTGCTTGCAAGAGCAGGTCTTGATACTTCCAGCGCCCGCTGTTCACGACGTCCTAC